GACGCCGGCACCCCGCACCCCGGCTGGAGGAGCATGAGGCATCGGGGTGCGGTGGGGTCACAGGGGCGGCTTCGGCCCAGCCGTGTCTCCAGAGGGGTTTCACACCCGCTGGGGCAGAGGAGCCGCTGACAAACCTGTGGTGCGGGATGGAGCCAGGTCCCCTGGGCGTGTATGGGAGCTGTGTGGGCATGGGCTGGCAGCCACAGGCCTTCGGCCCCACAGGCTCTCCTTTAAGTTAAACGAGGAGCAGAAGAGATCCCAGGGCCGTAGCCTGCGCTGGGGAGAGCCCTGCCGAGAGCAGTCTGTCAGGCTGAACCCTTCCCGTGGGCACAGAGGAGCTGAGAGCTGCAGCTGAGTTAAATTTACAGAGCCGGATAATTTTTGCATTACATTTCTCCCTGTCCTCCCTCTGCTCTTCATGAGAGATGCATCACTGAGAAAGCCCTGTGCTTTCAATGGTGTTTTGACAGCCAAGTCCTGAATAATGCTAGCAACCACGGATGCTGTGTCCTGCAGACGTTTCTGGGAGAGGAATAGAGCAATTTCATGTTTCTTTCCTCATTCTTTTTCCCGCAGAGGCATGGAGGTCCCTGCAGGGCTGTCTGCTGGAACAGAGTCCTCTGCCTTGCCCACTGCTGCAGCTTGTCCCAGTGAGTCACAACCAACACAGGCAATACCAGTACAGATCACAGTACTGACGGCACAGGACCTGGTAAAGTTCTGAAAATGTCTCTGCTGGTTTAATAAACGAGGCCAGAGTGATTGTGTGTGCTGTGATCCCATTCAAGACCAGGTGTGAGGTGATAAGGTTGTAGGAAGGAGCGATGAGAGTATCGGAGATTCAGCGATGCCACGCTGTGGCTTCCTCCTCCCCGCTGAGGCCTTGTTCCCACAGCGTAAAGGCTTGTGATTAACATAGACTGGGGAATGCACCTCCTCAGCAGCAATCCAGAGATGCCATGTTGAAATGTATCCCTCTGCCTAACTGTGTGTGAATGGCAGCTTTTTTGAGCAAAACATAGTGAAAATGTGTATCAGTGAGACAAATACCTCTAAAAAGATCTCACCTTGGATATAAAGTCAGATTTTCATCCCAGCTACAGCAGTTTAAACTGTATTGAAACCAATTGGGTGGCTCTAGTTTTAAAAAAGGCAGTGGCTCCAGTGCAGTTATAGGGCAAGACGAGGAGCTGTTTCCAATCAAACCATGACTACTGTGATTTACATGTGCTGCATGATACACCCAGCTGTCCTTAAAGTCTTCTAGAGGAGCTGGCATTTAGGAGGGAATGCGGAGGAGAAGCTCAGCTACTGCTGCAAGCAGAAAAATGCAAATCCCTGCTTCTGCTCTAGCAGCAGACAAAAAAAGCAAACCAAAAGCACCTGGCTGTTTTTTTTGATGTTTTTACATTGTAGTATTTGAGTACCTCTCACACTGATAGATTCAGCAAACAGCATCTTAGGTGAGAAGTATAAGGTAAGAGAAAGAAAAACAATGCTGAAAAGAATAGACCCGTGGACTGCATCTGGAATGTTGCTTTCTGATTTTGATTGCTCCATCTTGAGAAACAGCTATGGCAAAAGGAGAGAGGGTTGCAAAAGTGTGATAATATGAACAATCCGAAAAAAATTCCAGCTATAAGAAGTGCGGAATCTGCTTAATTAGAGGTAATGTAGAGAAGGATGAGAGAGGAGTCTAGGATAATTAATAGTACAGAGAAAGGTTAATTGGATTCTTCTGTTTAGCTGTTCATAGAATATATGCTCGACAGTCAGAAGGACTGAAAATTAAAACCAAGTGAATAAAATCTCTTTTTGTGCAAGAGCCAATATGGAACTAATTACACCAGTGGCGCGGAGAGAGCGAGCCGAGGGAGAGGCCCATGGAGGTTAGGCATCCCTGTGGCTCAGGGCTAAAGAAAAGCTGGGTTTGGGTACGATGGTCCTCGTGTTCAGGGTGGCAGCCTTTTTTTTTTAAACCGTGTTTCTCCTGCGGGGAGGCTCTTTGGTAACTGTCTGTGTCGGCACTTCTTCCGCTGCTGTGGAGGTGCCTGGTGCTGCCCGCTTGGCCAGGGCTGCCCGGGCATGCAGATCCCCGCTGCGGTGTGCTGTGCCCTCACCATCCCTCTTCACTGGTGTTTAAGCCCCTTTTAAAACTCGAAGCAAGTGGGATGAAGGTGATGTAACAACAAATTGCAGAGCTCCCCAAAGAGCTTGCTGGAGCCCTTCTTTGATTTCAGGGTGTTCTGCAGGCATGTGATATACACAAGTGTCCCGTGAGCTCAGCCATGTAGCTCAGGAGCTACTTTCTTAGGAGACGACAAAAGTCTCAAGCTTCCTGGAAGCACAAAAAATATCAATGGAGTATTTTGGGATTTGCTTTAGATGTGTTTTTCATTGACTGTCCTGGGGGGAAGCCTGGACCTCCCCATCTCTCCTGCCGCAGTTCTTGATAATCCTTGGGGCGTCACAGCATGGTGGAGCAGGAAATTTCCCTGCTAAAGAGAGGGAAAGTTGGGGTCTCAGCATGGCCGAGCTCAGCTCCTCTTCTCCATTCCTGTAGTGGAACAGCCAAACCCACCAGTGAAACCTTTCCTGGGCACTGAACTGAGCTGCCTGCCAGAGGCAACTTCAATCCCAGGCCTGTTGCTGCAGAGCCAGCTGCTTAATGTGCTGTTTGTTTGACAGAAGTCTATCAAAAGCGATGTGTCAGTTACTTTGGTGCGTGCGGAGTACAACGGAGTGATCTTGGGAGACTCCTCCAAGACTGACGTCTTGCCGAATGGGACAGCAAACTATAATTTCACGACCAGCTTTGACTGCAGCTCTGATGGGCCCAACTCCTTGGATGACATTGCGCAAAAACCTGTGCTCTGTAAGTACCTGGCGCTGAATCTCCCTTGTTGGAGGTGGGTGCTGTCAGCTGCTCTGCTCTGCCTGCCTGCCACAGGAGTCACTCGTTCCAGAATAGCACTTCAGCAGCAGCAGTGGGAGGGTCTCGGCACCTCTGTTCCCATCTCTGCCAGCTGGAAGAATCCCCTTTCATGTTGGCCTGTGCTCCTTGGCTTTGCTCTTTTCGTCGGCCTTGGGAGATGAAGTAGGAGCGTATGCCAGAGCTGACACAGACCCTTTGCAGCCCCCGAACTGCTGGTCTGAAGGTATTTGAGGAACTCTGTCAGCTCCTCTTTTTATCTCTCTAGTGACAGTGATAGAAGTGTTGCAAAGGGAGAAGAGACAGAAGGAGAAGACTGTGCCTCTTGGCCAAGCTGTGGTGGACCTTCTACCTCTGCTGCAAGGTACAACATTGACTTCCACAGCCTCCGTAACCACTCCTTACTCCCTGGCACTTTTTGATCTCTGCTTCTGGACCCCTGACTATAATTTACCTCCTTTTGACAAAATGTACTTCATAGCATCTGTAGAAAGTTAGGTCTGGGGGAAGAGGGGGTGACATCAGTAGCTCAGCATTAGGAGTTAGACCATGATTTCTCTACAGAAAGTCTCACTTTATGCTGCTCTCATTCCTGTTTCTTCCCAGGACAGTGTTCATTTAAGGTCTTGACTCCTTTGTATGCAGTGCCTACCTCTCCATTAGAGAGCCTTCACCCGGAGGCCAAGGTATGTGGAATTTGGAACTGTTCCTTTGCTCATGCGGCTCTCCGCTGCTTTTTAATGGGAAGGTGAGCATGACTCAGCCACCTAGTTCATCGCGGATATGTTATGGCCCTATATGTTACAAGCTTGGAGGCCTTTCCTACTCCCATTGATGTCTGTCCCTACTTGCCTGTGATAGGTGAGGTCATGCTAGGAAATGTTAATGTGTGCAGCTACCAAATTGCTCTGGAAAAAATATTCAAGATAGAAAGCATACTGCTGAAAAACCAGAAAATGTCAAAGGCAGGATTACCTGCCCAACTTTATTAGTCTTCCTTTCTGTGGATAAAATGTCTCAGAGTCCATTATTGTACAAGCTCTGACTGCCTTTCCTGCAAGGTTCTTACTCATTCAGCTGGTTGAAAAGTACCCAGGGAATAAAGCAGGGAATGAAGTACGAGACCAGGAAAATGTATCTAATTTTACTCCTGAGTTTGCCTGCAATTAGGACTGTGAGTGAATTGGAGGGGTGGATATTGCATGAACTTTTCTGTATTTGAGAGGCGTTACATGGTAAGCAAGGTAGGGGGGCACTCATTAGAAAGGAGAGATAATAAATGCTGACCAGCTGGTTTTTCGTTGCACACCATCCATCCAGGGTTGGGACAGGTAATTGAAGACTGCACACAGCATGGGAAGATAGGGCAGAGTCAAAGTGTGGCCGTAGCTTGGCATGCTCTGAATCACCAAGGGAAAATCATTATTTTCCATCCCTGATGTTCTTTCTCTGTGGCTCGTTTTATGAGCCCCTTGGGGCATATGCCATCCCTCAAGCAGGCTCCGATTTAAACAAATATCACAATTCAGAGAAATTGATAATGAAATTCCTTTCCTGCGTTGGTCTGTTTTCTTTTATATCTGAGATGAGGAATAAGATATCCTTACACATTGTGGCCTTGGATTTCTGCTTGCTTCTCCCTCAAGAGCAGGAGAGTTATAATTGTCTAGTGACTGGCTCTACTTTATCCTTGTCTTACAGGGTGGCCTTGAAGTGACAGTGTGCACCAAGGAGCCCCTCCTTTCTGCAGCACAGCTTTCAAATGGCAACCTCCTGAGCATCACGCTGGAGGCGGCTTATTCCGTCCCTGAAGCGTTTGCTGCCACGGGACCCCTGCAAAACTACATGGCTTGCTTGCAAGTACCAGCAGCTGGGGAGGTGAGGGTTGGTCCAGGCATGGTGAGAGAGGTTTTAGCTGCTACGAAGTGGATTGTTTTCCCACACCACGCACTGTGGAACAAGTGTCCAGTCCCATGGAGTGTCCAGCTCCTGTGTATGTGCAACAGCAGCCTTCATTGCGAGTGCTCAGGGTCTCTGCGGGGTGACATGTTTCTTCAACACAAATGAAGGTCTGCTCAGCAAGATTTGGATTGAAACTGGCAGGTTTTTTTCCACATGGCTCTTTATTTTTTCTCCATTCTTTGTATGTGTGTGGTGGAGTGTGTTTTCCAAGCCAGGCCCCTGCACTGCTTCTTTGCTTTGTTAGATCCAGCTCAGAGAAGCTGGCACTTGCTCCTGCTCATGCTGGAAATGCAAGTCCTTTCATTCTCCTCTCTCTCTAGAAGGAAGTCCCCTTGCTCTTCAAGAATGGCATCCTGAAGGATGCTGGTGAAAAAGAGCCATTACCGCGGCCCAAAAAATGGCCCCTTGATAACATCATGGCTCCTGGCGCTCTGAGCATACCCAACTCCTTCATCGTGGGTGGTCCCTATGAGGATGAAGATGGAGAGCTCAACAAAAGAGAGGTGAGGAAGGACTGGCAGTGTCATGGCTGGAAGAGAACCAGCAAGTCTCACTGAAGGGACTGAGGAAGACTTGCAGAGACTTGTTATGGGAGGAAGGCGGGTGATCGGTCCTCTGCACAGTGTCCAGAGATGGAGATGGTGTCCCGGGGCCAGTGCATGTGCTAAGTCACCGCAGGAGAGTTCCCTAGGGCGCGGGTGGCAGGTCTGGTCCCCAGAAAGCTATGCGCTCCTGGGCTGGGAGTTGTATTATCTCCTTGTGAGCCAGGCTTTTGATACTAATGGGCTCTGGTGTCTGCAGGAAGGGCTGCTAACTTACTCTGCTTTCTCGGCATACCCAGGATGGCCTGGGTATGGCGAGTTGAACACCTCTGTCTGACTCATGTTCTCTCCCAGGGAACAGGATTGGGGGTGATTTGGGGTTGATGCAGGCTGTGGAGATTGCTGTCCTGGCTCTGACCGTGTGCTGTTTCTCACAGGACAAGGAATTTAGGATCCAAGCAGAAGGCATGAAGAGAATCGTATGGGACACGGAAAGGCGTTGTTACCTGGATCTCACTGCAGTAGTCATGTAAGGGACCTGAGAACCTCCTTTCCAGCACGGAGAGGTGGGGAGAAACCACCCCAGAACACGCTCAGCTGAGTGACCTAAGGCAGGGAGCAGCAACATGCAGGTGCTCTCAGACTCCTTACATGATAAAACCATGGCTCTGCTTCACCTCCTGTGGCTCCTGTGGCTGTCTATTGGCCAAATGTCTTCACATGAGCAAGGGAGCAGCCAACTGCCTTTAATTGCTGGCAGCAGCTTAGTTCTGCTATGGTGGGAGAAGATGAATGGGCTGTAGCTGCTGTCTTCAGCCTGTAAATGCTCACGCATGCTGTCAGCAACTGGAGCTGGTGACTGTTCCCTCTGTGGTTTGAAGGAAGGGGCGGCAGAGTTATGGTGAGCAGACATGAAGTAGGGTGGCCCACACAGCTCTCCTCTGAGCCGCTAATTAAGTTTTGATCAATTCCCAGTACATTAAAATCCTTTCACTCCATGCAGGCACTCTTCATTTGCTTTTTTTATTGGATAAACGTTACCTTTAGCAGCTCCAGATATACTCAAGATCAGGATAAGTATCCTATTGCTCTTTGAGTCCTGCTATGTTCTTGGCCTCAGCTGCATCATGGCTGTGAGTTTCACAGCCAAATTACTCCTCATGTGTGGAAATACTCCCTTCTATCTGGTTTGATTCTTAAAAAAATTTTTCCCTTACACTTTCATCAGCCTGCCTGCTGGTTTCAGAGTTACCAGGCACGTTGAACAGGAGCTCAGGGTCCACTTGCTCTGCGCAATTCAGGATTTATACCAAAGTTAATCATGTTCGTTCTTACTTGTTTCATTTCTGAAGTAACCAGGGGAAAGAAAAAACCTACTGTGTTGCTGTCACAATTGTTTTATAGCTGGTTGTGCCATAAATGCACACAGCAGTGGATGGAGAAGAAAATGTACTAACCCTGCCCCAAAGCACACGTGTTTCAGTGGCCCAGGGGTGCTTGCTGTGGGACTGGGTCGAAGCAAACCCAAGGGGGGATGCTTTGGGGCTGCTGGGGCAGAAAGGAGGGCAGTGTGGCTCTACAGCTTGGTTGCTGCATCTTCTCAGTGCCCTCCTTTATATTCAGTCTGCAGAAACGCATTGCAGAGTGCCAGTACTGGCCCGTGGAAGTCTGTGGGATGTCTGTGGCCTCATCCAGCAAAGGGAAAACTAGCAAAGCTGACAAGGTAAAAGTGGGGAGGGATATGTTGGTCTGGCTTGTGGAGCAGCATTGCATTATTGAGCATTTTCCTTTCAATGCCTTTGTAATACCAAAACCAGCCTTGAACAGCCAAAGTGAGTCAGAGAGCTAGAGGCTTTGGAAAGGGATTAATCAGCCTTATAGAGCTGTTTTAAATAGACAAAAGATAATATTTTTTCCTTATAGCATACAGAGCTCTGATGGTCTGTGGTAGCTTGGTGGAAAGGGGTCAGGGAGAGGGTGCTTTTCGAGAATTAAGGTAATTCACTGAGCTTATCAACGACCAACGGGGTTTTTGAACATCTTGAAGAAATTCATGCCTTCTTTCTTGGGGTGTAAATAAATTACGCTTTTGCACATAAACTGGGGTGGTATAACAAAGAAACAGCTCCTTAGCTAATGGTTCTGTTCCTGGTGGCTGATCATGTAGGAGCTCCTAATCTGTTCCAGGGCAAAGTCATATAAATTGGTATAAATCCCTTTCAGCACTCACTGGTGTCAGGATTTTGCAGCTCTCACAGAGATCCTTCTCCATTTACCCTCGCCAGTCTGCTGCTAGCCCAAACTCCCAGACCTCCTCAGCTACCTGATGTCTGTCAAACCCAAGATGCAGAGCTCTGGTAGGGTCACTCGGAGTTCTAACCGCACGGTTGATAATTTTGCAGCTGTATCTCAAAAAGAGCATCCTGAGAAATAGCACAGTGTGTGCATTAGAGAGAAAAGCTGCCCTGCAGGGATTGGGATAAAATTGATATTCTACATATCAAATGACTCCAGTGTATTCGTCCAGGTTGTCTCGGCTGTGTGCCAGTGACAGAGAACCACTGGCTCATCAGGTGCATCCGTTTGCTGTGTGGCCTCTTATTAATGCGATCGGTGACCTTGTTTCTTTAAAGAGAATAACAGTCTGTTCAATATCTCATCACTTGCACTGCCTTTCCAGGGAGATGAGGACAAGCAGATTTTCTTCCATGGCGTGGCGTACGTCGACATGGTGCCTTTGCTGTGCCCTGGTGTGAAGCAGATCCGAGGTGCTTTTCGTGTCTTTACCTACCAAGACAGCGAGGTGTTTGAGAAGGTGAGAGCAGACCAGACAGCCAGGCTCCGCTCCAGCTCTGCAGCTGCGTTTGTGCAGATGGGGTTGGGAGCAGGCAGAATGGGCAGCGTGGTACTACAAGGCTGGGTCTGAAACTTCACTGTGATAGAGAAAAATAATGAGAAAAGCTTTTAGGTGCAGACTTCTCAAAGGCAGGGGATTTCTGGACGTGCGTGAGCAGGTTTGGGGGCTGAGAGAGGCTCTGAATCTCACTCCACTCCCTTCTCTGCCAGGAGCTGAGCAGGGAGAGCTGTAAGAACATTCCTCTCTCTCCAGTCTGGAACACGGGCAAATGAACTGTGTTGCTGGGAAGAGCAAACAGTGGCTCTAAAAGGATAGCGTTACCCCAGGCAACAACCAAAAAAGCTGTCACTGGAGCTCTTTCAGCTGTAGCTCACGGAGCTTTATTTGTCTTTGTGTTTCTCCCCCCTCTGTTACCAAGAGTGACAGTTACATCTCCATTTTCCCACAGTACTCCTGGAACAGACCTGAGCTTGTTTCAGGAGGGCAGATGCACAGCTTGGTTTTTCTGCCCACGTCCCCCAAAGCACTGCTGTCCATGCCGCAGGAGCCGAGTGAATTACAGCCCTTCTCCCTGCCTCCACGCTCCCGCTGGCTGTTGCAAAGCAGGGCCAGGCACACAGCTGTTTGCTGGTCTCTGCTTCACCGCTGTGAATAGCGGCCTCCTGGCTGCATGGTACTACTTGTCCTGTAGCATTTATCTGTTGCGAGTGAAGTCACACATGCTCTCTCGGTCGTTCTCATTCTCTGGTTTTGTGGATGCTTTGGGCTGCTCCTTGGTCTAGGTGGTCTCAGTACAGCTGCTCCATCCTCTCCCCAGGATCCCCTCAGTTCTTGCTAGCCCAACTCATGTAACAGTGACAGCTGGAGGGAACAGCCTATCTAGGTAGTCAAACAGTGTGTAAACAGACAATCTGAAAAACTCGTTCCTTGCCATTCACTGACATGTGTCAGGGAAGCTGCCCTACACCAGAAGGTGAGTCGGGAGCCGAAAGTCACTGCAGGGTAGGCGGGGACACCTGAAAAATTGCCGAGCAGACTTGGTGAGAGTAGCCAGATTCATCTAACAGTCCACATCATCAGGCAAGTCCATAGCTGTGAGGCAGGTCCAAGATCAAGCCAGGAATTCAGGCTGGTGGGCCAGGATCAGGGCATATGTACCACATAGCTCAGGCACGAAGCAAGGGCCAGTGCCTCAGAGAAAATGCAGCTCTCGAGAGAAGACAGGGAGACCCTACAGAGGCTTTCTCAGGCAGCTCATTTCATAGTCTAACTTGAGGCTGCACAGCTACATGGTATCAGAGCTGGCCTTTAGCACCGGCAGCTAAACTCCTAGGAGGGGAGGACAAGTTACATAGCTTCTTAATGCATTTAGGATCCTGACAACGTGTTTTGTGATGTGAGAGGTTAAGGCAAAGGGGTGGAGAAGCCTAATTTGTGCCTTGATTCCCACTGTTCCCTCTTTTTTTCAGACCAAAAGTCAGCACAGTGTTTTCCAGGATCTCAGGACGCAGCTCAGTGTGACTAAGGAAGGGTTGTGGACCCCGGGAATCAGTACTCCCCTTTCCAGAGCTGTTCCCAGCAAGACTCAGAAGGAAGACCAAGAGAAAATCACCAGAGATAAGGATTCCAACAGAAGGGTAAGGTCTAGAGAGGCATGTTGCAACACGGTTCCTCCATTTCCACGTCAGAGGTAGTCGGGACATGCAGAAACCAGGGACTAACGCTGTGTTGCCTCAGCCAACTGAGAGAGACTCATTATCTTGACATTTTAGTACACACTGCCTGAAAAACTGTGCAACTCGCACCCTGAACTTGCGAAGGTGTGAGGTTTATTGAATCTGAAACAAGAAATGTCTTTTCTTTTTCTTCAATAGATGTCCAACGTGCCCAAAATCCAGTTGTCAGATGCCACTGTAGAAGCTGAAGATGTCACATCTCTCAACCTTGATGGACAGGTAATTAGGTATCTCCAAAGAGAAGGGAAGACTGCTAGACCATCACTGTGCTGGTGTCACACCTTTCACGCAGTTAAATTCTTCAAGAGTGAGTTGGACAAGGGACGTTTTACGTAGATGCTGTCCTGGAGTTCTTCCAGTGACGTCCAGCTGGAGGGCAGCCTAGCATTGGGCTAGAAGGTCTCTATAAATAATCAGACATTTATTTAAAAGGGTTCCTTCCTATTTTGGCTTCTTCTTCAAAACGTCTAGAATGCACATTTATTCTGCAAGCAGATTGATTATCTGGGCTTTCTCCTTTTTCCTAGACTGGTTTCTTGAGCTGAATTTTGCTGCTGTAAATCTTTCTGCGGGCAGGTTATAAAACAAGATGTATCTCTGCAGTTTGAAGAGGATTTGCTGAAGATCTGTAGCTATATGCTCAGTGTTTCATCATGCCAGTAATGGCTGTAGACAGCATGACATTGAGAGACCAATGTTTATCTTCGCAGCAATATGTTGAAGCAGGAACGTTCCTGGTGATGGAGATAAAGCTGGACAAGGCCTTGGTACCAAAGCGATCACGAGAGGAGCTCACCAGACGGTGTGTAAAGATGTGCTGTAACTCTGGAGCTGACAGCTCATTTCTGCAGGATAGAAACAAGGCTGTACCATGAGCTCCTCCTTGGAGTGCTCTGTAAGGCCCGACTGAGGGCCTGAGCCAAAGCCCACTGGAATAAGGGGGAGGATTTGGCCAGGCTGCTTAAGAGGTGGCATCTGGTGTGTTGCAAAACATTTGTGTTCATCCCAGCTGGCATCTCCCTGCCATTCCTCTCAAAAAGAGAGACAGCAGAGTAGCACAACAGTGTCTGCGTTTCCGTCCGGGCTTTGTTTCCCATTAATCCCCGTGTGCTTGCCTCTTGCATGTGATGTTCAGTTGCTGGGTCAGGACTGGCCACCAGCATGGACTGCCCTGGATAGCACTGCTGGAACTTCACCATAGCATTCTCATTTTTTTTTTCCTTTTCGCAAGTTTTCACACAATCTTCTACCCGTTCCTCAGCTCTTACATTAGTTTTCGTGTCGTTCTGCTGTAGAGCTGCTCTCTCATCTCTGCTGCTTTGAGTCTTCCGCTGTCTGTTTGATTTGAGGCAGTTTCTTCCTGTCCAGTGGTAGCCCTGCTGTGTTACAGTCTAGAAAAGGCCTAGCATCTATAATGTATTGAATAAAAAAGAGAAAATGCAGCAAACGAATGAAGTTATAATAAGTGCAGGCAGCATGTCTCTCTCAAACAGAAATAGAAGCATCAGCCATTCTTTGAAGGGAAAGTATGTGTGTTGTCTTCTGTGCTGCCTGCTGTCCTCTAGGAAGAACAGGTAGAGGAAGGTGAACCCCCCTAGGATAGACGTTCTCCTGGCCCTTTTTATACCATTTCTATTCTACTGCAACTTGCATGAATTCAGTGTAACTCCTCCTCATTCACCGGCCATGCACAGCTGCAGATGTCAGGCCTGAAAAATCAGCCCTTCTGAATCATGGGAAGGGCTCTGTCTTGGGGAGCTCCAGCTGATGCCACATCCAAATGTCCTAGCAGACAAGATCAACAGTGGATCTTTTCCTGAAAGGATGTTTAAATACATATTTTAGTAGCAAACCGTAGCTCTCTTTCTTGGGCTTCATCCAAAATCCTCTCAGCCTCCGCCTGGCCCTCTTCACTCTCTCACTTTCCCCAGGTTGTAGTTGGTTTTCTTGTTCTTATCTGAAAGTGAAGCAGTTTGGTTTTCATCTGTACCACTGGCGGAGATAACACATCAGTGACGGGTGCTGTTTTGGGTGAGGGTGGGTCTGTGAGCGTGGGAGCTGCACTACCCACTTGTTCAGGCTTTTTGGCATCCCAAGGAGCAAGGGGACCACTCAGGGCCACGGCACAGAGAGTGCGAGAGGGGTTTGTGTGGGAGAAGCAGCCAGGGCTCAGGACCTGGAGAAGGCAGCTGGTCAGGGGCTCCGTAAACTGGCAGAACAGTTACAGGAGTGGTTTATATTTGCTCGGGAATAAGCAATTTGCTTTGCTAATTGGGCAGGAGCCATCACAGGGATGTGACACCTTTGCTTGGTGGGCTGAATTGTGTTCTAAGGATGGAAAGTGTTTTGGTATCAGCAAGCAGGAAATCTTGATAAAAATCTCAATGAATTAAGGTTGTTTTGACACCAAGGATTTTAAGAAAATCTTGGTAAAAATTCTGGTAATCCTAAGGATTTTTGATCAATATTTGAAAGGTCATTGTAACTCTAGTAATGATACAAATGGGGTCGGTAATGGTGTCTAGGGGTCAATGCATGGCCAAGGGATGAGGTGCCGCTGCCACGCTGCGTGATGCCAGGAACTGATGGATTGGGTGTCCTGGGGTTTACAGTGATAAAATTCTTCAGAGCTTTCCTCAGGTTGATACCTTTCTTACAGCCGTTCTGGCAGACCCAGGAGGCTGTGAGTTAAAGAAGATCTACTTCTCTAGGAAAGCGTTTTTGATTGCTAGCAATAACAAATGTTAACCCTGTTATGATGAGCCACAAGCATTGAATGAAGGTGCCTGGGTTTTATGGTTCATTCTTGGTGTGAGACTTCAGTACCCCCCCTCCTTGGGTCCCTGTGAGGTGTCTCAGGGATACGATGACAGGCTGGAGCCCTTGCACTACAGGCTGCCTGCGCCCAAGACAAGCCAATGTTGCTGGCAGTGTATCTGGCTGATCTCTTCTGTCCTCTTATTGACAGGGTCAAGCAGATGATTCCTCCTCACCCTGTGCTGCCTCCCTGGACTGCAGGAGCCAAGAAGGTACGTGCAACAGCCTGTGGCCTTGCCACCACCCTGCCACCTCATCCTGCCCTCATCCCTCTCGCACAGGAGAATCTTCATTCTCAATCTCAGCCCAGCAGCAACATGTAGATGAGATTTGAAGAGGAAATACACAGAAAAGAAAACTTCTGGATGGGTTATCTTCACAGTAGTATGCCTTGGAAAATCATTCTTGGGCTGCATCACTCATGTTTGCAGTCCATATGAAGGGGAGATATAGCAAAGGCAGAGAAGGCAGCAGCATGGGGGTGTTTGGAAGGAAACGGGATGCTGGGGAAAGAGGCTACCAGAACCTTATGTTTACCTCAGGCAGTCCCAACAGTTTCTTGTCTCAGACTAGCCCATGTGCTTCATCAGACCCAACCACTCTCAGGTCACCCAGAATTTTTGAGGACTTTTTTGTGTGTGACATCCTCAGAAAATGGTCTGAGAGCGCTGCCTTGTCTTCTGTGAGTACAGAGCAGCTGCCGAAGGAGGATATACTCAGTTGGGCCCTGGCCGATGGTAAATTCAAAGCAACAGTGGGGGAAGAGGCAGCGTTTCGATAACTGACCGCAGTGCTGCTGCACAGGTGATTTGTGCTGGACTGTCTGGAGTGCACGGAGTGATACATTTTGATTATTGCAGCGCATGGAAGCTTCTGCCACCAAGATTATGGAGATTACAGACTCTGCTGAAGAGGGCTGGCCCATGGGTTTAAAAGGCTCCCAGCAAATAAAATATATTTTACTTACAGCCAATTATACTGCTATAGAAGAGATGACAATGACTAAAATACTGGGTTCTGATTGAAAAATATAGCAGGAGCAATATCTAATTATGAAGGAGCTCTTTTGTATTTACATGTAGATATTTTCACAGCTCTCAGGCATGGACAGGAAAGGATGTGTGACAGACTAATTGAGACTTGAGTCAGGTGGAGGTTATGGGAGGCATGGGCTCTGGCAAATAAAGTGCATTTCAAGGTTGATGGCACAAGTGACCTGTGAAGTTTGATTATTTCTTTATTTCCTAGGCTGTGGAAGATTATCACAACCATGTCACGAACATTGCCCTTGCCATCCTAAATGAATACCATGAGCTCTTTGGGAAGCGGCTGCCTAACTGGGGAGAGATAGACCACCAAACTCTGGAGGAACAGAAGCGTCAACTCAACTTCGAGCTCAATAGCTCTGGGAAATATTTTGCTTTTAAGGAACAACTAAAGGTAAAGGGTCCATTTGTGCTTGTCACTTCCCTACGTATTTTGTCCTGGCAGTTTCTCAGTGAGGAACTGCTGCTCCATGGTGGTAACTTAGGATGATGTTTTGCTCCAGAATCTCTTCCTGCCACCCGGGGCCATTGGAGCGGGCATGCGAGGGGATAGGTTTTCCGTCTAACGGAGCAGGCACCAGAGTGGTTTGGTCACACACCAGGAGAACCATTCCTGTCAACAGGGGGGAGACTCCAAAGCTGGTCACATCCATTTGCCCCATGCTCATAGCCTGAGGAAGGCAAAGCTGACTGCTCTTGCGTGCTCACAGTCTGCCCTGGCAGAAAAAGGGGGTTCCCCTCTCTCAACTGGTCAGCCTCAGTCACTCTCTGCTCGGAGACCACCTCTCTGTGCCAAGGGGATGAGCCTTCCCACATGTTGTCCCTAAAGGGGCACTAGTGTGTCAGGGAGAGCCAGGACTGGGAGGTGGGAAAGGAATTCACCCCTACTTGCTTTTTTATCAGTGCTGGGCTGGATTTCTTCCTCAGAACTAAGTTGGAGCTTCAGACAAAAATCAGCGTGTTCTGGCTCCGTAGGATTATGGAGCTGGTGGGGGGCGTAGAGGGGACCTGCCTTGTCCAAAAGTCACGTGTCTCCACAGTATGCTGTAGTGAAGATTGTGAGGGAGAAATACCTGAAGACCACTGCATTTGAGACCCAGGCGCAGTTCCAGGCATTTCTCAGTGAGCTCTACGTGTACCTCGTGGACCAGATGCACATTGCCCTGAACCAGGTAAGGAGAACCCTGGGTGACTTGGGACACAACTTTGCTGTGGATCCAGGGCTATAGACACTGTGTCTAGTGAAGGCAGGGAAACTTTTGCCTCCAAGACAGAAGCAGGCTCATGCTTTTGTTTGCTGCAGTTATCACATGTGGGACCCGAGCCACATTCAGAGGCAGAATCCGGTACATCTGTATCCCACTGCTACGAAATCCTGATGGTGGGATATGTGCGAGATGCCACTAGTAAAAGGTGCTGTAGCTGGCTTGTGGTGAGGGTAGCTGGGTCTGTGCCATCTGCCACTCACCTGGGCAGAGCACAGACCTTCCAGCACGAGCTGGGGTCACCAGTGACACCACAGGAGTTTGACATGGAGATGCTTTTAGTTGTCACAACTGCAAATAATCGATATTGCCCTATCCCTGTGTGGCAAAGGTACCTGAGAATGACAGAAATGTGTCCCACCACAAACAGGAGCTGGGACAGTTTGCCTTTCCAACCTGCCCAGCCACAGCCATGCCAGGCTGCACTCCTCTGGATTGGGGACTGCTGCTGTACCGGGATCACGTGAACCCTTCTTACCCTCCCCAGGGCTAACGCTCTGTCTCACTCCCTACCAGCTACTGTCCGAGGAAGCTGCTTCTCCTGCCCCTGTGTCCCGCACAACTGAGGAGCAGCTCTGGCTCTTTGCTCGCGAAGCTGAATTCAACAAGGACTACAAGCTGGCATCTCTCTACCACCAGCAGGTAAAGGAGCCCCTGTTTTTTCCTGTCCGTCTCCCATGTGTGCACATCTCACGCTGTGGTGTGGGGCCTGTTGCTGACAGCTCAGCCAGCCCTGACTGTTTTGTAGGGAGGAAGGAGGTGAACATGACCAGGAGGCTCAGGCTGAATGTGTGAAGGATTTTCTAGGGAGGTGCTGCTCTCTGGAGGATGTGAGACAGAGCCTGGCCAGGTCACTGAGGACTTCAGGCCAGGGAAAATGGGATGAGCTGGTCCAAACGGCATGCTGGGTCAGTACTGGGGGCACTGGGCCCTCTAACAGGAGGCTAGGAGGAGGTCAGCTGAAGCTGGAGGACACGTATTAGGTGAAAGAGGCTTAGAGGAAGCCCAGCACGATCCCAGTTAAGGGAAACCCTAGCATGTGATAGACAAGGGCTTGATTGTTGCTGAACTGGGCTGGGGTGGCCAGAGGAAAGCCGTGGTGATTCTAGAGTTGTCTCCCCAGTCCATTGTGTGTGCTGAGCA